CCCGCGCGCCCTGGGCGCTCCGGGTCGCCGCTGTCGCCGCTGCCGGGGCCGCCCCCGGTCCCTCGTGTCCCGTAACGGCACCGGAGGGAGCCGAGACACGGTCCCGCGTGGGGCTGGCCCCGAGGAGAGCCAAGGTACGGCCGGGACACGGCGGAGCGGGATGGGCTGGGATGGATCTGGATGGACCGGGACACACCGGACCGGGATGGGGCGGGATGGACTGGGATGGGCCGGGACACACCGGACCGCGATGGACCGGAATGGGGTGGGATGAACTGACATGGACCGGGACACACCGGCCCGTGGTGAACCACGATGGACCGGGACACACCGGACCGGGATGGACCGGGACGGAGCGGGACGGACCAGACGGACATGGGCTGGGCCAGGGGCGGGCGGGGCCTCCCCTCCGCCTCCGGGGGCAGGGCCGGGACCCGCCCGAGGGGGCGACCGGGGCCGCGGGCAGCCGGGAGCCTGCGGGGAGAGAGGGGGGCCACTGGTGTGGGCTGGTGCGGGGCCCAGGGGCGATGAGGGGCACCGGGCTGGCATGGGGACGGGACTGGACACGGTACTGGGGGACACCGGCATGGGGCAGGGGGAGCTGGGGGGCACTGGGACAGTGTCACCAGCACTGGGGGGAACTGGCTGGCGCCGGTCCCTTGCCCCAGCGCCCCGCTTCCCGGCAGCGTTTCGCCTCGGTGCCACGGTACGTGGAGATGCTGGTGGTAGCGGACGAGTCAATGGCCCGGTTCCACGGCGCGGGGCTCCGGCGGTACCTGCTGACGGTGCTGGCGGCGGCTGCCCGGTCCTTCCGGCACGGCAGCCTGGGCAACCTGGTGGAGCTGCGGGTGACGCGGCTGGTGGTGCTGGGCCAGGGCACCCCCGGGCCCCCCATCACCTCCAATGCTGCCCAGATGCTCCGCAACTTCTGCCAGTGGCAGAAGGGGCTCAATGTCCCCGACGAGGACAGTTCCCTCCACTTTGACACCGCCATCTTCTTCACCCGGCAGGTGAAGCTCTGGGAGGTCTGGGGGGAGCTGCAGGGCTCTTCGGGGTCCCTGCAGGGTGGCTGGGGGCCAGCAAGGTCACTGGGTGACCCCCAAGGTGGTTGGGTGCTGGCCTGGGGTGTCTATGGGTTTCGGGGGCTGGCAGGGTCCCCAGGGCCTGTCCCAGGGCGTTTGGGTGCTGGGTGGGTTTGGGGGTGCCCCGAGCCCCCCCCCACACCTTGCCTGCCCCCAGGACCTGTGTGGGGCGGCCACCTGCGACACACTGGGCATGGCCGACGTGGGCACCATCTGTGACCCCGAGCGGAGCTGTGCCATCGTGGAGGATGACGGGCTGCAGTCGGCATTCACAGCCGCCCACGAGCTGGGTGAGTGGTGGGGGCCAGCAGGAAGGAGGGGGTGACCTGCTGCTGCCCACGAGCCCCCCTGGGGCTGACACCGCTGTCCCCCGGCGCAGGTCACGTCTTCAACATGCTGCATGACACCTCCCAGCACTGCCGGGAGCTGAACAGCCACTCTGGAGCCACCCGCCATGTGATGGCTCCCGTCCTCTCCTCGCTGGAGCCCGGTGAGATGTGGTCCCCATGCAGCGCCTGCTTCATCACCGATTTCTTGGACAATGGCCACGGTAGGACCTGGCACAGGGGGGCCCGGAGTGGGGGATCCTGGCGCCACTGGGGAACGCCCTGTGCAGCGGTGTCACCTCCCGGCAGGTCAGTGCCTCCTGAACAAGCCTCTGGAGTGGCTGCAGTTGCCCTCGGCGCTGCCGGGCAGCGTCTACCCGGTGCTGCGGCAATGCCAGCTCGCCTTTGGGCCCGACTCGCGGCACTGCGGCGACCTGCAGCCGCCCTGTGCCTCGCTGTGGTGCACCGGCCACGTCGGCGGCCGCTCTGTCTGCCAGACGAAGCACTTCCCCTGGGCTGACGGCACGCCATGCGCGCCAGGCAGAGCCTGCATGGACGGGCTCTGCGTCAGCGTCAGCCGCATGCAGGAGCTCACCGTGAGTCCCGGTGGGGCAGTGTGGGGGGCAGCGGGGTGGGCACTCACCCACCAGCACCAGTTTAACCCCCTGTTGTGTTTTCTGGCTGCAGACGCCTGTGGATGGCGGCTGGGGGTCCAGCTCTCCCACCGCAACTGTACTACGCCGGCGCCTCGCCACGGCGGCCGGTACTGCGAGGGCAAGCGCACCCGCTTCCAGTCCTGCAACGTGGAGGAGTGTCCTGGCAGCACCCGTGAGTGAGGCCGGCCAGGGGCGGGGAGCGGGGATGGCACCGGTCCCCAGAGCAGGCTGCAGGGCAGCTGGGGGCTGCCGCCGGTGCTGACTGTGCCTCACCACCGCTGGCAGCCCTCACCTTCCGGGAGGAGCAATGTGCCGCCTACAACCATCGCCCCGACCTCATCAAGGGGCTCCCGGCCCCCACGGACTGGGTGCCGCGCTACAGTGGCGTCTCCGAGCGGGACCAGTGCAAGCTGACCTGCCAGTCCCATACCCTGGGCTACTACCACGTGCTGCAGCCAAGGGTGAGTATCCCCCCACCCGCCGCGCGCCCCGGGGTGCCACCGGTGGGCGCTGAGGCCACGCTGTGCCGCAGGTGGCCGATGGGACGCCCTGCTCCCCCGAGAGCACGGGGGTGTGCGTGCAGGGCCGCTGCATCCCCGCCGGCTGCGACCGCATCATTGGCTCCAAGAAGAAGTTCGACAAGTGCATGATGTGTGGTGGCAATGGCTCCAGCTGCACCAAGGTCTACGGCTCCTTCACCAAACCCCGGTAAGCACCCCAACGGTGATGCTGGGGCGGGGGGGTGCCAGCTGCAGGCTGCCATCATCCCTCCTCCAACCCTGCTGTGCTCCACAGCTACGGCTACAACGACGTGGTGACGATCCCGGCGGGTGCCACGCACCTCCTGGTCCGTCAGATCTCGGCGGTGGGTGGCGAGGATGTCTTCTTGGCACTGCGGCGGCCGGCCGGCGGCTCCCTGCTCAACGGTGGCTATGTCCTGGTGCCCTCCCCAACCGACGTGGTGCTGGCGGGCGGCGTGACCCTGCGCTACAGCGGGGCCACGGCGGCCACTGAGACGCTGACGGGGCGGGGGGCGCCGGGCCAGGCCCCGGGGGCGCCG